CATTTCCTCTTCGGCAGGCCGACAGCAGTTTGGGTGGCCGCCACCCGCACCCATAGGTTCCCAGGCTTGTCTCATTGCTGCGCCATCTGTGAAACAGATCTGCTCATTAATATTTTATAGTCTCCTTCACTGAAGTGGCTAAGGGTTTACAGGAGTCCCTACACTGAAATAAAGGGCCTAACTTGGAGCAGAAGTAGAACAAGGGAAATAACTCCACGTACCTGGGTGCAGACACTCTCAGTGGCCATTTCCAGGCACAGGGTAGAGTGAGTTTTCTGACCGCTAAGAGGAGGGATGGTGATCCTTTGCTTCATTCTCTTAGTTTGGAGAGAGAGACCAGAAGATTCTGCTCCTTCCTGCCCAAACATCTAGCCAGTTTAAGATTTAGTGGGCTTCCTTTCTAGGAATGGAGGCAGATGCCAGGGGAACCCCCACAGTCAGGGGCTGGTGTTCTGCTTCTGTGTGAGCTGCAGTGGGGACTGGGCTTCTCAGGGTTCTCACTAGGGGCTGGAAACTGAGGATGTGGATAGAGCCAGGGAACGAAGAAATAGTTCCAGTCTGCATCCCTGGGCAGTAGTGGGGGCTTTCTTGGGTTGAGGTGATGGAGCTCATGTGCTGACTTTCTCTCCAGAGAGGAGCAGGAGAAGCTGAATGTATGGGTGGCTCTGCTGAATCTAGAGAACATGTACGGCTCTCCGGAGTCACTGACCAAGGTCTTTGAGCGGGCTGTGCAGTACAATGAGCCTCTCAAGGTCTTTCTCCATCTGGCTGACATCTACACCAAGTCAGAGAAATTCCAGGTAGGAGTCTGATCTGGGTGGCCCGCTGCCGGAGGGTCCTTAGTTGCTCAGAAACTAACTCCTAGGAGGCACAGAGGCAGCAGGGAAGTCACAGGGATGAATTCCCCCATTCTGGATACAGCCCTGCCACAGGCTTGCTATGTGTCATCTGGGCCCTAACTTGTTTGGCTTCTAAGTGGGTGGAGTCATTTCCTCCCCCCTCTACTTTAGGACTGCAGCCGGCAGCGGAAGGAAGTGAAGGGACAGCTGACCCCTGGTGTATATCCCTTGGGTTTACAGCCATGAGGCAGCAGCTCGGCAGAGTGTCCCTTTTCTGTCTCTCGTGTGCCCCCATGTTGTTCTCACCTTCTCTCTTCTCCTGTTTGGACTTCCATGCAGCACAGGATTGATAGGGAGACTCCTCACCTGTAAGGCTCCTTCATGTGTTCTGTGAGCCTCTCTGCTTCCCTCAGGCACCTAGAATTGGGCCTGCACAGTGACTGGAGTTTGAGGCTACGTCTAACCCCTCATGAGCATAGCTGCTGCCTGTCTCTGTTGTATCACACTCTGTAGCTTACCTTTTCTTTCCCACAGGAAGCTGGTGAGCTCTACAACCGGATGCTGAAGCGATTCAGGCAGGAGAAATCTGTCTGGATCAAATATGGTGCCTTTCTTCTGCGGAGGGGCCAGGCTGGGGCCAGTCACCGTGTGATGCAGCGAGCCCTCGAGTGTCTGCCCAGTAAAGAGCGTGAGTGTTCATCCCCACCTTCCAGCCTGATTCTGGATCACATTAGGCTCTCTGATGTCTGGACGTAGGGATTGGGGGTTTTCTCTGAGCGGGGTGTGGTGTTGGGAAAGCCTAGTGGAGGGCATATAACTATTTTTCTATTGATTACGTGCTCATGGACGTAACCATGTGTTGCATTTCAGATGCTAAACTTCAAAGATGAAGGAACAAAAAACAGTTAGTGCTAACTTTGTTGCCCCTGCCCTCTCTCCCTACTGGGCCCAGAGAGACTCTCCAGTGGAAGTCATAGATCAGTACCCATCTGTGTATTTGGCCCTAAACTGCCCCACTGTCCCAACTGTCATCTTGGAACCTGGGAGCAGGGAGTCAGGGGTCAGATGGTGTCTGACATGTAGCACATTGTGCTGTGGTGAGGGGTCTGTCTGCTTTGTGTATCTGAGCTGTCCTCTCCCTGCAGATGTGGATGTGATTGCCAAGTTTGCCCAGCTGGAGTTCCAGCTAGGGGATGCGGAACGGGCCAAAGCCATTTTTGAGAACACACTGAGCACCTACCCAAAGCGCACCGATGTCTGGTCGGTTTACATCGACATGACCATTAAGCATGGCAGCCAGAAGGAAGTCCGGTGAGAGGGGAAGACAGATCGGGGCTGATTTAACTGTGGGGATTGGGGGACGTTGGCCAAGTGTGTAAGTTTTAGCCCCACAGTCAGCTTCCAGGATCCCCGGTTCTCTTACACTCTCTGAAGAACATCTTTGACATGACATACCAGGTCCTGTGGCATTCACTTTGCAACCTCTTTTTCTGTATCTGGAACCTGGGGTGGGTGGTAGGCTGGTCCTGGTGTGGGAGTCAGGAAATTTGGGCTTCCTGCATAATTCATTGTACCTGCTTCTGGTGATAGAGAATGTTCATGGGCTTGCTGTTGTCGCCTGTGTCTCCACAAGGCAGAGAGGATTAGGGATGGATGGATTGAGGTCAGAAAGAACTAGTGCCTTGCCCAAGCCTGTGGGTGTTTGATCTAGAAAGAGGGTGGCAGTCTATCTTCCCATGGACACCTTAGGACTTTAAAATGGCAATGAATGTAAAGACAGATGTGAGAGTGCTGGAAAACAGACAGCCTGGCTCCAGGGCCAGAGGGCGAGTGGGTGACAGCTAGCCAGCAGTCGAGTGGCCGGGGGCCAACAGGCAAATGCTGCCTTGCTCTTCCTCACAGGGACATCTTTGAGCGGGTCATTCATCTCAGCCTGGCTCCCAAGCGAATGAAATTCTTCTTCAAGCGCTACCTGGACTATGAGAAACAACACGGCACTGAGAAGGACGTGCAGGCCGTGAAGGCGAAGGCCCTGGAATACGTGGAAGCCAAGAGCTCCGTGTTGGAGGACTAGTGGCCCGCGGGCCTCAGATGACCACTGTCGGCAGGGGGCCAGCCCTGGCGAATCTCAGGCGTGTGGGCGGCTGAAAAGCTGTGTTGTCTGAGGACTCTTATTTAAGTGTTGCTTTTTCTGCAGCACCTTTTAGGGTAATCCTGTCAGGATGGAAAAGAACTTGAGCTTTCTTAGACTGCCTTTTTGCTTGTTTTAAGTACTAGTTTACTTCATTTGTACCCTTTTCTGAGGCTGCTCAGTGGTTGTAGGCAGCAGACTCTTGGACCCCTAGAAAAGCTGAGGCGCTCTCCTTCCTGGGAGTTTGCTGGGGACAAGAATGGAGGGGCTAACTTCTGATGACCTGCTGGTCAGGATCTCACTCTGGCCCCAGTAGGCTCTTGGTCCAACTAGAGGGGGTCAGCAAGATCCAGGGAGTGGGCCTCCTCCCCTAGGCTGAGTCCCGCAGCCTGCACTCAGCTAGCACTTATGCCCTTTTGTGGACTCAGTGAGGCTGGGACAGGAGGATGAAGGCAGACCCCAGAAAGGACAGTTGGGGAACCTGGGTACCTGAGAGGAAAGCCACAGGGATTGACATGAACCACCTGGGAGGTTTCCTCCCAGGCCCACCAGGCCCAGATTATCCAGATTCTCCTAAGTTAGGTGCCTCATTTGTGAAATGGGGTCAAAAAGTCCTACTTGGAATAGTGGTGGGGCCGGGTAGTTAGGAGGCTCGGTGAGGACCTAGATTGCTGTGCTGTGTGAGTTGGGGAGACCACAGTTTTTCTGTGTCTCCCTATAGCCCCGATGGGGAGAGATCCTTGGATGGAGGGCATTGATTGGCTGGATGATTTTCCTTGAGACCTGAGGGAAAGGGGACATGTTGGGTCCACCACACCCACGCCTCCCTGGGGCCCTTGTAAATTTCCCAGAAAGGTGGCATCCACCTCCTTTGGTAATAATCCTGTATGTTCCAGAATTCTTGGAGGCCAGCACAGACTCAGTTGTAGAGGCCAGTTCTTTTCTGGCTGGTCTTAAGGGGATTAAACGTTTTCTTTGGCAGCGCTTTAAATGTGCTGAGAACTGGAGAGCTTTCCTATGGGAAGTGACTGGGTTGAATGCTGGGAAGCAGGACAGGGACAAGGAGAGCATCAAAGGTTTTAGAGATGGTGGAGGCGGTCAGACAAGGGTGGGCATGTGTGGGTGGTGGGGAGAGGCAGAGGTGGGGCTATCCTGGTTTTTGGTCATTAGCACTAAGTTATAGGAGCTAGTCTACCTTCCTGAGTGTTGGGTCTTTTGACTCATGGAATTTAAGGTGATCTTCCATCTGAGACAGGCCAGGCTTCATCTGTTCCCCAGATCAAATCAGATAACTGAATCTAACTACCAAGACATCATCAGCCGTAGGGCCTTCCCACATGTGGGAACATTTGGCTTTCCCTGCACCCCTGCCCTCCCTTCCATCCATTTTAATTTTGCTCAGAGTCTCTCTATCCCCCCCGCCAATCCCAAGGGATTGGGATTTGGGCCTGTCTCCGTGACCACCAGCCTGCTGTGGCATAGCCCATCCAATAATGCAGACACCAAGCTACTCGTTTATACTAGGAACAACTTTATCAAAAATTTTAAGTATATAAAATAAAGCCAGAGGCTTACATTGGAGGGCAGCTTCCTGGCTGAGCACTGCTGAGCCAGGTATCCGCGTGCAGTCACACATACGGTAAGTGCACGATATCCTGCACAAGGATATCACGCTCACCTGGCTCTGCTGGCCGGGGCTTCCCAGCTTGGGAATCTCACCGGTAAGCAGTTGTCCACATCATAGTTAATTAAGGCTCGGTTCTGGGAAAGGGCCTTTTCCCCAAAGCGGTTGACCAAGTGTTTGGTGGCAGCAGGACAGGGCGTTTCTTCAGGTCTGAGAGCCTTGCTGTCAGAGCAGACCACGTTGTCTACTAGCTCTCCACACCCCAGGGTGCTTTGTGTTCCTTGCTTCTGACCTGTTTCCCCAAAAAGTTAAAAAAAAATCATCCCCTTCTGATGCTGTGAGCAGGCGGTGGAGTTCCGTTTGAGTCCAGGCACCGTCACTGGCAAAGAGTGCGGGAACCGGTCCCTCAGGAGGCGACCAGGGCCATCTCCATGGTTTCTGGTGCCGTGCCGTTGCCCGCCAGACCCTGGGCCCACTTGTGCAGGCGGCTGTAGAGCGGGAGGCCCTGGTTCTCGCGGTACAGATAGACGCCCGTGATGGCGTTCCACTGTGGCCGAGGCTGGGTGCCTTCCACGGGGAACCTGGCCACCAGCTCCTCGTCGTCCTTGTCGAGCGCCACAAAGCCGAAGAAGCGGCGCACGTTGTTGGCGGCCAGCACCCGCGAGTGCACCTCGGCCGTGCGCTGGAAGAGCTGGTCCTCGTTGGCGCGGTACTGCGCCCAGTAGGCCTCCTGGCGGTAACTGAGTGGTGAGCAGTAATGCTTGAGGCACTTGGTCAGGAACACCAGGATGGCCACCATGCCGATAAGCAGCCACCCGAAGAGCTGGCCAGAGAAGGGGCAGGGTTGAGGAGGGGCAAGGAGCTGCCTAGACCCTCACCCGCCCCAGGAGGAAGTGGGAGGAGCTGGTCAGAGGGCTCTGGCTGGGCTGGGCCGAACCGAACCTCAGCCACAACCCCCCTGAGGGCAGATCCTACTAGAAGGGAAACCGGCCCTTATGGCTGTGATTCCACTTTGTCCTCACTCCCTTGAACTCACTTTCTCTGTTGTGTTTTATTTGTTTGTTTAGAAAATCCTGTGCTCTCCTTGTGTCCCTCATCCCTTGCTGCTCTGAGTTAATACTCCTAGCGGTGTTTTCTGCCCCCGTCTCTGCCCTTGTCCTCTCTCCCCAGGCTGACCTCTGCTCCTTCAGAATTGAGCCACGGCTAAGGCTAGGATCAGGGCAGCAGCCACTGCGTCCTGAGTCAACACCCCTTCCTGGCTCGGGGGACTCCCCTATGACAGCAGCACTTGAAGGCTGACTTCGTGCTGGGCCGGGGTCCTTCCCGGAATAGGAACGTGTCACCTCCTAGCTGACGGTAACCATTTCATAAGCTTGCAAGGGTTCGTGCTCAATCTGGGTGAAGTAGAGGGGTTTTTTTTGTTTTTTTTTTTTAATTTTTTTTTTTTAACGTTTATTTATTTTTGAGACAGAGAGAGACAGAGCATGAACGGGGGAGGGTCAGGGAGAGGGAGACACCAGAATCTGAAACAGGCTCCAGGCTCTGAGCTGTCAGCACAGAGCCCGACGCGGGGCTCGAACTCACTGACCGCGAGATCATGACCTGAGCCGAAGTCGGCCGCTTAACCAACTGAGCCACCCAGGCGCCCCGAAGTAGAGGTTTAATCTGTGACTGGGATCGAGGCTTAGTCTAAGCCAGAACATTCCTTTAATGTTTAAAAGTTGCTTCACCAAGTCCTAACTCAAAGGTTACCCGGCTCAGACACCTGACGCTGACAATCTAGTGCTTTCCTGGAGACCTCAGCCCCTGAGGACAACTCTGCCTTCAAGGCTGGACCATCCCAGCACCTCCCCACCAGCCGTCGCCTAGGGAAGAAAGAGGAACAACTTCCCTTTGCACAGCCTTACCTGGGACTCGTACTTGAGCCTGCGGGTGACCTCCTCCCGGAAGCCTGACAGGTTGGCAGGGCCCTCCCCACAAGGGAACCTGGCCAGGATTTCCGTGGCATGGTCTGGTGGGAATCCCTTTTCCCCAGCTGTGAGTGAGGAGGGGTCCACAAACTCGCTGAGAGCACAGACGTAGGCCTCACCGCGCAGCAGGGAGATGACAGACCAGGTCACGGGGGCCACGGCCGCACGGCCCAGGATGGAGCTTAGGAGGAGGAAGTTGGGGGCGGCCGAGCAGTTCTTGGTCCTCCGGTACTGGCACTCGGTAACTAGGTTCCAGGTGTGGTTGTTGAGGATGACACCGATGAGGAAGAGTGCTAGGGCGGGCACACCGATGGCTGTCAGCCCATATAGGTAGTTCCGGGCAGGTGAGCAAGGGCAGTGGAAAGCCACCACAGAGAACAGCTCCTGGCTGCCCACTGTGCCCAGTGCCACCAGCCCATTGAAAATCATCACGTCCTTGCTCTTGAAGAAGAGCGATAGGAAGCGGAAGTTCTCTGCAATCAGGGCTGCCATGGTGATGAGTCGGCTGGGGGACCGACTGCAAGGGGAGGTGCAGGCGGAGCCTGGGGCCGATGGTTCCTGGTGGGACTAAGAAGGCGTGCAGGCTGGTAGGCATCTGAAGGCAGGGCGAGGTCTTGTCATCTTAGCCCCTCTAGTGGCTGGCCGAGCGCTCCCTGTGGGACAGTAAGTGACGATAAATGTGTGCCTCTGAAAACTGAAAGGGTTTGAGGGGATCTTGTGTGGCCAGGCTGGTGAGATGGGAAGGAGACTTGGGGAGCCCCAGGGCCTGGTGGACAGGGTGGTGGCAGCCACTGCTCACTGAGCCTCTGCTAGGTGCCAGGTGCTTTCCATCCCTCATTGCCCATGGTCAGGATCTCACTGTGTTGTCATATCCCCAGTGTATGCAGAGAGGATGGAGGCTTCCTGAGGGGGAGGGGCTTGCCAAGGTCACATGTAAGTAAGTGGCAGAGATGAGATTCATGCTCAGGTCTGTCTGCCTCAGGCACTCAGGTTCTTGTTACTCCCACAAGCTTCCCTTGAAGGAGGGATTAAGAATGGCCTTGTGGCCCTGGGGAATATGGGGTTCCAAGTAGTTCTGATGTGTTAAGGGACCTAGGACTACTTGGAGGGTTTTGTCCTCAAGGCCTGTAGCCCATGGGTATAACAGCTGAGTGGGTGACCTGGTAAAGGACTTGGGCCTGACTCAGTGAGGTGGGGTGGGGTGGGGTGGAGGAAGGGGACTCGGTCAGTGGTAAGCCTGGTGCAGCGTTCCTAGAATTCATGAGAACTTTTCATTTTGGAGACCTCAGCATCTGGACTGGTTTAGGAGATCCTGGCTTTCAACGTACTTCATGACTTTTCTTTGGGTCTCGGTGTCCTCATCTCTGAAAAGAGGCCAAATCATTCTGGCCCTTGCTCTCTCCTTAGCGGTGCTGGGGGGAAAAGAAAGGGGGAAAAGTGATGCCTAATAACTGTTCTGCGTCAGAAACCCCCTACCTCACCCTGTCAAGTCTTTAGGGTGGCTCCCAGAGGTGAGGCCCCTGGCATGTTTCTCCTTCCTGCAAATATCAGGAAACTAAGGTCTAAAGAGGAGTAAGTGCCTTGCTCGAGGCCATTAAAGTATGGAGGTGCCTGGGCAGGACTTTCGAGCCTGATGTAAGGAGGCTTGGGAAGTGGACAGGGGTGGGTCTAGCTAAGTCAGTCCTCTGTTTTCTTGGCCTCCTGACCTTGCTCTTTGCTCATCCATGAGAGAGCCCTGGTGAACCTTCCATTCCCCACCCATTACCCCTCCCTTTCTAAGCAGCCTCCCGGGGGGGCTGCCCAGCCTGCCAGGGACAGGCAGCCTTGATGGGCTAAGGCTTGACCATCCCCACCAGCCCATACCCAGCCTGCTCCGCCATGTGGTACTGGCAGCCTGCCAGGAAGTGGCTGAGGCTCCAGCCATGTTCTGTCCCGACTCCCTTCCTAGGCTCCACCCACACAAGCAGACATTCCAGGGTGTGGTCCTATGTCCTCCCCATCTAGGGGATGAAAAAAAGCCCACAGCCAGAAGAAGCCTGGGAGTGGTGGGATGGAGTGGGCAGCAAACAAAGTGGGGGAGACCTGCCCATATTTCCTTCTCTACCTCCTCTGTACCCGCCACCCTTCCTGGTCTCTGCCCAGGTTGCCAGATGGGCCCCGGCAGTGACCACGTGGGGAGCCAGGAGCAGGAGGAGGGACCTGACTCCCTCCCACTCAGCCCAGGGCCTCCGGTTGCACTCTTTGGGAAAAAGTTTATAATGTTGCCAGGGATGAATGGGTTAAAGGCAGGCTCCTCTCCCTCTTGCTCTTCCCCTCTTGGCTTCAAGTTTCCTAATGGGCCTTCATGGGTTCAGAAGCTGCCCAAAATGGGGTACAAGATACCTGAATCCTTGGGGTAGTGAACAGAGAAGAAACCAGGCCATCGGCTGAGACTACCGGCCCTGTCTCGCAGGCCAGGAAGGGGTCACATCTAGGCCTGGGTGGGACCTCTGACAACAGCAGTCGGGACAGAAAGTGGGACAGGCTGGGAGGGGCACAACTGGCGGGGTCCAGAGTGAGGAGCCTCGGAGGGGCCTTTCCTCCCAGGACAATCCCTCCGGGTGGCCTTGAGCAGCCCGCCCATCCTCCCCATCCTCCCCGTCACCTGGCACACCCCAGAGAAGGGCCCTTCCTCTTACCTGGGGCCAGTTGCGGGTGACAACCAGTGGCTTCAGCCTCCGCGGAGCGTGGGCCTGCAGGGCGGCCCTGACCCGAAGTGCTTTCGGGCTGTCTTGCGCTTTCTTCTGCACTGGAGCAGGGAGCTGGGCCGGCCTGGCGCTGTTTTCTAAGAAGTTTTAACTCCAGGAAGAGAAGGAAACAGCGGGATGGAACTCGGGCAGTAGCAGTGAGTGGAAAAACAGCCGCCTTCAGGCGCCAGGCAGGGGAGGGCGGGTGGTGAGGGCGGTGCAAGAGGAGAGGAAGTTGGGCTGCCTGTTTAGCAGCGCCTGGCCCGCGCCTGCCCTCCTGAGCCAGCTGCACACCAGGGGGACCAGTTCAGGGGCCAGGCAAGGGGGCCCTCTGGGAGATCCTGCCTGGGCCTGTCCTCCCTGCCAGTGTCAGGAGTGCTGTCCGTGCTTGACCCCCACTGGACAGGAGCTGCCATGGAGGCCCCAGGAGGGTTGGAGGAGAGGCGCCACCAGACTGATGCTGACCACTAGCAGGATGCACAGGCCACGGCCTCCCTACCTTATTCTGGCTCCTCTCCCTCAGAGCCACCCTGCACCAGTCGGTCCTCCTCCCCACCACTGGGTCTTCTGTCCATACTTCAGCTAACTCCCCCGGCACTGCTTCACATCTCAGGAGGGCTGGCACCGTGATTCTCTGAGGCCCTGTGCGCAGACCACCGGATGGTGGGTAGAAATTACAAGAAGGCGAGTTGCTGCAAGAACCCCTTTGTAACCATCAGAGCTGCCCAGCCTGTCCCAGAAAGTGGTCATGAGCTCCCCATCTGTGGGAGTGTGCAAGCTGAGGCTGGAAAGTCACGGGTCAAGAATTCTAAAGGGGAGAGCCCTGTCCAAGGACAGGCTAGATGAGCCCTATGATTAAGGGAAAGACCTCCCTCAAGTTCCCCACTGTGTCATCTCTGCAACGTTTGTGGTTCTGTGACGGTGGGACTGCCGAGTGCCACACTGGCCTCCCTGAGTTGTGCTTGTCCCTGTGCAGAAATGAACGGAAAGGACCAGTGGTTATTATTCAGATCCTACCAGGTGAGGAAGATCCTCTTCCTCAAAAGTTATCCTCCTTTATCCTCACCATAATTCTGAAAAGCAGGTCTTTTTAAGATCTGTTTTTCACATAGACACACTGAAGTTTGGAGGGATTTAGTGAGGTCCTACAGCTCTAGTTCTTGAACCCCAATCTGCCTGACCCAAAACCTTGCTCTTTCCTTGGCGTTTGTACCTCCTGATACCCTGGGCGTGTCCTCCTCCCAAATAATGAAAGGAGCTCAGGCTGAGTCTTAGAAGTGGGAATGGAGGGAAGAGTAGTTGGGAAGAAGGGAAATTATTAAAGCGATGTTGTAGGGATCAAGATCAAAATGAATTCCTAGATGAGTGGGACTCACATCTTCCTGGCCCTCAATTCCCTCCTCGACAAGGTGTCTCCAGTTCCTTATGTCGCCCTCCCGTTCTGTCCAGGGTCGGATAAGCTGTCAGGTTCAGAAATCTACAAACACATGAGCCACTGCATACTGAGTACCTATTCTGTGCTTTACACCCCTCACCTGTTTCATGATTTTAACAACCCCATCAGGTAGGTGCCCCATTATACAGATGAGGAAACTGAGGCACAGAAAAGGAAGCAGTTGGCCCGAGGGACACAGTTTGTAACTGGCAGAGTCAGCATGTGACCCAGTTTTCTCTGGCTCTGGAGCCTGAGCTGTTTCCACTGCAGGCAGTTCCCCTTCCACTCCTCCACCCTCCTCCCCGTCTCAGGGCAGAGCCTCTTAGCACTCTAGAGACCCCTTCCCAGGGAGTAGGGTTTCTGAGAAAATGGGAAAAATTCAGCTTTTTTTCTAAATGCCTGAGCTCAGGGGAGGTCTGATCTTCCGCAAGACCTGGATGTGAAGGAGGTGTTCAGGCGGTCTCCAAGGACCCCTCCAAGGGAGGGTGGTATGGTCTGA